TTTTGTCTCTTTTCCTTCTTTTCTGCAACTTCCACGTTCTCTTTCTCTCTTCCAACCCTTATTCCTTTTCTTCTTACTGTTACTTCTTTTTCCTTATTATTTCTAAATAACTAATATCATAACCCTATAATTCTCATTATGTCTTAATGGGCTTAAACTCCTACACCTCCCTCTCTACTATTTCTAATCATTAAAAATAATCCCACATCAAATAATAGTATTATTATAATATTATTCTACAACTTAATCAAATAAATTAATTCAAATAACCACAACACAACATCTATCATCATAACACGACTTCACAAATAATCCAAAAATAATTTAATTAAATGATTAATAAATAACGGGTGTTACAGGTTGGACCAAGAGGTACCTATCCTTGAATTGTCAAACTGACACGAGATAGGCCTTAAATAGCTTACTCGACAGTTTCAGGGAAACCCATATGAATTGCCCATCAACAACTCCCCACTGGAGATGAAGTTAGTAGAAAAACAGGGAGACAATGGCCCCAATCTTAAGGTACTCGCACACAATTTTAAATGCGCATAGAAGGGCTATAGAATTAGGACGAATATGTGAAGGAGAAAGATGAAGGTGGTCGAAGACGGCAACCTGAAGGTCGGTAAAAGGCAGCCAGAGCCCTGGATCTCTGAAGATAATCTCGTACATGGGGAGCTGTTTAACATCATACTTCATGCAAATTCGGTCACGCTTCCCAGTGATGAGGACGGCCCAATCCTCCTCGGTTCTCATTTGCTCCATCCCTGAAGCCACAACCGTGAACACTTTCTCCAGATGCTTTGTAAAATGGGAAGCGATTTCCTGGGAACCCAGTGCAATCCAGTCACCCCCTCAGAAGCCACAAGAATTCTCTGCGCAGGTACGTTTCGCCCAGGAGCCTTAAGCACACCCTGCTCGGATGCATTTTTCCCCAAAGCGGTCTACTCGGAATTGCTTTGTCTAGATGTGCTCTCTTCGGATGAGTTATGATTGGACGAATTTTGGTCGGAAGAAATTTGTTCACTTATAATCTCATCCTCAGCACTGCTAGCCATTTTACCTGAAAAACATAGGACAAAAGTGAATTCGACTTCAAATAAAATCCACCTTTCCACCTCTAATTAAGTAAAAGGGTGCACAAAGGCACGAGGACCCTGTCCTCGGCTAGAGCCCTTACTTAAACAACAAAACTTAGACACGAGGATGATCCCCTCAACGTGTTAGGCGCCTGTCTACTAGGCCAAACCGTAACCCGCATGAGGAGTGATCTCCCCGACGAATGAGTTTTGAACTTCAAATTAGATTCATCTGAAACTCATACAGTTCATATTAGACACCCAGAAAATGGCCCAACCTCGCCTAAAATATCGTCACAACTCGCCGCTACTTGCCCAAAAACGTCAAAATCCCTAAATGTCTCTAAAAGATTCACGGCGGAGCCGACATCTTCATGTGGTAAAACCACCATCAGACACCAATAAACCACTAGAAAACACCCCCACCCGCCAAGTTAATCCTAACCACATGTATCTCTAAAGGAGAAATTAGAAAAACTATCCTAAAACAGGGACGAAATCCACAAAATCAAGGGAAAGAATAGAAACTTACTTGGTCGGGGAGGATAAACAGTGAGTGAGTAGAAACTTCAGCGGCGACCGACGGCGGTGCACTACAGAACTAAGGGGAATGAGTAGGAGATAGCAAGCAAAAAAGTGCGAATGAATCTTCCTCTCTCCTATTTATAGGTAGCCTTGCTGGAACATGAGTGGGCACACGCCTAGGGAAGCCAAAGGGTTATCATCATTATGCCCTAGACCCTATACTGACAATCATTACACATTAATGACGACACATGGTTCGATGAAGGCGTGACACACAATCTCTCAGAGTCTAATCAATCATTCGACTCCCCACACACCAAACACATGAGACCACGTTTGGGCCCCTCAAACACACATGTCCACAGACACATCCTAAAGCATCATCGTCTCCTATAACAAACACCAAAAGAATTATATCCTCCTCGACACACATGCTGGATTTAAATAATCATTCTTATGCCTAAGAGCAATGATTTGGGGGGCTCATATTCCAGAATAGCCCAATGGCTAAGTAGGGCTCAATCCACTTCTACATGTAGGACGATGTTTTAACCTAATTTTTTTATCTAAGATACCACCTCATATGCATCATTGCATCTCTAAAAAAAATACAAAAAAATAGCTTGTGTCTTTGCTCCTTGTGTCAAGCAGGGATTTGAGTCAAGAAATAATCACCAATCCAAGTCTTGATCAATTAGGGTTTTGACTGAAGAAAGTGAATCATTGACTTTTGGATCAGTGAATGACCTAATGGCTTGAAGCATGATTCAAAGAACTAAAATGAAAATGGTATAAGAAGATTCATAATACAACTTTGTCAATATGGGTTGATCTCGAAAAGATGCATAGATTTGAAGATATGAATTAATGAATTTAGCATCTCAAATCAGTCAAAAATCTCAAACACTTAGAAATTTTTTGAAGTGCTTGTTTCAGCCCAAAGCAACAAAGTTGTAAGGCATTTTCACCAATATCTCAATTGACTCAAGGAAAGTGTTCAACATGAAAGTTTTAGATAATGTTTAAAGCTTTCCAAAAAGTCCAGGTGCATGAATTTATCGTACTTAAGCAAAGAGTTTTGAATTTATGAAGTAACCATGGTGAAGATGTTTTACAAGACAAATTTCATTTTCATGTTTGTGTATAAACTTTTAGCCAAACCATGAGATCTTTGATTGCAGGTCATGTTGCTTCCAAATCTCCATATAATTAAGGTTTTATACAAATCCTAAGTGTATTACATAAAGATTTATGGCTTTTTCCAATTCACATCCCATTTTTTAGGGAATTTTGCAAAAAGACACATTTCCATTTCCATAAAGCATGCTTTTTACCACAAATATTAATTTAAACCCATTCTTTGTTTTCTAATCAAATAAACTCAGAAGAAACATCCTATTGTGCAGAAAAGTGGACCTATTATCCATAAATCAAGCTTTGTTTCACCTTGGAACCACCATGATCATGAAACTACCACTTGAAATATAACCAAACCAAGATATTTACAAACTTTTTTTTTCATACTTAAGTGTCATACCCCAAATTTGTCCTACCTATTTTGCTCTTATCTGGCTTGGGCTTTGTATTTCATTTGCATCATTTTTATTAGGTCAATCACACATCATTTCTTCATTCAATAAAGCAGGGGTTCATAATCAGAGGTTGTGCTAATTAGGGCTTCTATTGTTTTGAGGCTTCTACACTCAACACATTTGATTTCCTTGGTTCTTCTCTTGAGCAGTGGACTATGTGAATAAGGGTTTTAAAGTATGGTTATCACGAGCTTATTCATCCATGAACAAGGTGGTTTATCATTCAATTCATCGAGGCCAAGGATTAAGGTTTATCTCCCTACCCAAGGTCAATGGATTAGGGTTTTTATCTCAAGGATACCTTTGTTATTTCAAGTTTCTTTTCACTCGAGGTTATTCCCAAGGGAACTGTGTTTGAATCATGATCGTTAGTCATCAAGTCAAGGGTTCACGAATTAAATTGCAAAGCATTTAGAGATGATTGTTGTGAAGTCACAGGGTGATCAAGGCATGGTTATTCTTTGTTACTTCACTTACAAGTCACTTTCGGTTTGGACATGGAAATTAAGGCTTTCATTGAGAATTGGATTCAAGTTATGAGATAATGCATATGTCTTACTTGGCATGCAAGTTACAGAGGTCATTCATCATTCAAATATCCACAAAATTACAAGATTTATTCAAGTTTCACTGAGTCCATTTAATTCGTCATTGTCCATCATTCATAGTTCATACAAGTATTCATAAAATCCCATTTTAAGGCATGATGTTTCAAAGTTGTCAAAATTGTTTAAGACATATTCATAAGCCATAAATTCATCCAAGTTTTCAATCCATTCAAGTTCCAATTAACAAACATACAAGTTCCATCAAGGTTCATTCAAAGCGAGGCACCATTCACCAAGGTTCAAGAAAGTTTGTAAATACATTTAATGTGTTATCATTCATCATTTACAAGTGCAATCAAATTTTCTTTACAAGACAAAAAGACAAAAAGGGAAGAATTTAAATCTTAAGACTATTCTATGAGTTTGTATGGGCCGAAACATTAATAGAATCTTCATCTTTTTTCAAACTCCCTTCCAAGCTTCATGCTAGCCGTGGTTCCTTCTTCAACCTTTCCTTCCTTTCTTCATCTTCCATCAACCCTCACATGAAAAACAAACAAGAAAATTGGTTAGTTCAATCGTAATTTGAACAAGAAGTTTTCAAGCAAAGTTTTCTTCTAATCTCATCATTAAGGTTTATGAAGGAATTAGAAACAAAGGGTGTTTTCAATCATGAGATAAATCCAATCCAAAGCCTCATATTGAATATATTTCACAACAAAATTCAGAAACATATTTCAAGTCAAAGGCCTACCCCCTATATTGCAAATCACAAAAGCCCTTTTGGTTCACAAATAGGGGACTCAAGAAAAAAACAATTTACTACAACTCAGTGAAAAGGCAAAACCAATAAAATAGTGTCAAAAACCAGCCCATGAACTTGATGCAAAACAAACAAAATCTAGCCCTGCTATAAACACATTGCCGCCCTGCCACAGAAAAACCTGTTGCAAACTGCTCTAACCCTTGTTGTACAAAACAGCCAAATAAAAACTTGGACCAAAAAGCAAAAACAACTTTGATCCGGTCAAAGTTTTACCTCTATTCTAACTGGTTTTTCCCTCCCAACAGTAAACAATTAGTCACACAAAAACAAAGAGGAAACTATCGTTCATACACAGCCCAAAAGCTCTAAGTTTTGTTCATCACTTTACTAAAATCACAAACCCTTCAGAACTATAAGAGAAAAGAAGAACAACAGTTCTAAATCAAAGACAAAAATAAAAGACTAAGATCAGAAAGATATCACCAAATCATAACAGTTCAAAGCAGCTGCAATACTGTGCCACAGGGCTGTAAACCTGCATCATACCAAGCAAAGAATAATAGTTCAAAGCTGCTGCAATACTGCTCCATAGGCCTACAAAACCTGCCTCATGTCAGTCTAAACATTACATTGAATTAGTAAGGAAAATCACTGCATTAGAAAGCATTGAAAAGGTATGCTAAAATAGTTCAAATTCATCCCATTTCCCCCCCCTTAAATGCTGTCATTCAACATTATAAATATGGACTTCACTCAGAGAAAAGGAACACATAGAAGACAACCCTCAAACCTCTCCAAACATCCTGTATCTCCCACTCCTACTGACTTTTCATTAACCTCTCTAAGACAAAAAAAAGACCAAAAATGACCTTCAAATTCTTCATCTAATAACATTTATCTCTCTGTCATATCCTACTGCAGTCCTCCATCTGCTTCACCCTTCACAAAACCTTCATACCCTAACCATCGCCATCATATTCGATCTCCATTTGCAATAACAAATATAATGCAACAAACACTCACAACTCACAGCACAGACTTTCACTAATCTACAAGGTCTTCACTCAATATAACCTTCAACGAGCAACTTTTGTACCTGCTAGAAAATTCAGCAAACTTAACAACAACGCCTCAATAGCTCCATATTTGTGGAATAAAAAGGGTGGAGAAAAAGAGCACATGAGCAAGGCGAGTAAGTACCTGAACGAATTTTTGAAGCATTACCGGGGAGGTTCTCGTTTTTGTAGGTAATCCTTATGCCTTTACATCTTTGATACCCTGTTTCCTGTACATTAATTTCCTCTTCCCTCGATTTCTTCTTGTGTGGCTTCCTTGTGTTCGTTCTTCCATTCATGGCCATGGTTCCGTGCGAGAGATTCATGAGAGAATGAACGAAGGGGAAGGGATTTTGAATAGCGAAAGAGAGAGATATAGTGTGAGAGATCAAAGAGAGAGGCGAGAGGGTTTTCTATATTCCTCAACGTTGCTGCAAGCGTGATGGAAAGAGAAGAATGGATTGACAAAGACGATAGAGAGAGGGTGAGAACAAGAAGAAACCAAGAGAGGGAGGCAGAAAGGGCGAATCAGAAATGAGCAAGAGGGTTTTAGGAATTGTAGTGTTATTGAGTGATTGAAAGATGAGAGAACAGAGGGAGTTTTACCGCGTGAAAGATAAAGTCTCAAGAGAGTGATGGTGATTGAGATCGAGAGAGATATAGAGAGAGATGGGCGTGAAGCAGAGAGATGGAAGACGTGTGAGATTAAGGGAAGAGGATAATTTGGTTTCTGTTTAATTAAGAAATTGAAAAATGAGAAAAAATATTTCTTTTCCTTTCCCCATGGCAGACATCAGCGGTGCCCTTTCCCCTTAAAATTAGGGTTCCAAGATAAAAACCTCCTTTTTCTTTCTTAGATGGGTCTGGGTTTGGGCCTAGCCCAACCCATTTTACAAGTTTTGGTTTTTATAGTTTTTGAGTAGTATAATAAATGAATGAAGTGAAGTGGTACAATGGTCAAAGTATTGTGGGTGAAAACTAATGGTCTTGGATTCAATACCCACCAGGACACTTTTTTTACTTTCTTCTCCATTTTTTTTTGTATATTAAACCTTATAATTATTTATTTGTTTTATCTTTTTATTTTAATAAATGATTAAGTGTTAAATATTTTTTTTTCTCTTGCTTGCAATATATTTTTTTTAGTTAAGAAAAAAATATTATATTTTATTTCTTTATTTGGTCGATTCTTGATGCTATTCCCTTAAGAGATTCTACAAAACGATTAGTCGTTTTGCGTCGAATTAGACCTTAGGTTAGAACCCATGCATGACAACAATTAGAGTTTTTCTAGTCTCCCTCTTAAACTCCTTCTTCTTTTAAAATAAAAATTTCTTAATCAAAAAATCCAAACACACTTAATCGTTATTCAAACTAATTTCAAAATTAACGAAAATACTCAAAGAATAAAAAATTCCCTCACAAGGGCATGTTATCTTCGTTCTACCGCGATACCAGCCGTGCCTATTGCTAGAATGCGTGCGTTAACATCACCCAATAAAAAACACCAACAAAAAAAATTTTCTAGAAGAACTACGGTGTTCTGATTCCTTCACTGGATACTTAGGAAAAAGGTTGCGAGATCCTCACGAACGCACTAATAAAAAACCATTTATTTCCCCTTAGCAAGGAGAGTTATAGATAAACACACCCTTATAAGCAAACAAAAAAAATGGATCTCGTTGAGTAAAATAGATATGAGGGGTGCTAATACCTTCCCCTTGCATAATCGACTTCCTTACTCTCTCTCTTGGTCGCAAGACCATCTTAGCCATCTTCTTGAGGTTTTCTCGATATTTCTCCTTCCTTCGGGATAAATAAAGTTCGGTGGCGGATCTGTCTTTTTTGCCGGTAGCTTCATTAAGCCACCTCAATTTCACTATAAATAAAGACCCTCTCGTCTTTTCAAAACACACATAAATCTCCCCTCAAACACTCACAAATTCATAGAGAAAATCTCAAACTCCATTTTTGTGTCAAAAATCTATTTCTTAAAAATTTTCATTCCTTGCAAGTTCTTTGCAAACTAACCTCATAAACACCTTCCATAATATATATATATATATATATATATATATATATATATATATATATATATATATATATATATATATATATATATATATATATATATATATATATATATATATATATATATATATATATATATATATATATATATATATATATATATATATATATATATAAGCTATTGTATGCATTGAATTGAAACTGTAATCTTCAAATAATCATCTCCAAATCTCACTTTTACATAGTTGTAACTTGAGTTGTTTAGCACAGTTGAAGGGGTTTCAAGGCAAGCTATCCATTGTAATTTGTTCATGGAGCATCAAGGGTGCTAAAGAAATCATTTTCCATCATTAAGAGTGCTTAAAACAAAATCTCCATTTTCACCATCAAGGTATACGACCTTGAACTAGAACTCTCACATATGAGCATCTCTTTGCATCTTTCTTGATACCATTATACTTGTCATATTGCAATGAATAAAAGGCCTACGAAAATAAGCATTGGTTGAGCTTGTGTGCAATTTAATTTAACTTTGAAAAAATAAGTTTTTCTGGTTTTGATTGAAATTTGTTTGATACAGTAGATATAAATTAATTTTTAGCATATTTTTGAATTCACTGTGAAATTTCAAGCAAGTTTGGTTTTTACACTTTTGAGTTTGGTTAGAAATAAGAAAGTTGCAATTTTTTTTTTTGGAAAAAATTAAGTTACAGTAACGATGAAGAAGATGAAGTGTGAAGCCATTTTTCAATTTTTGAAATTAAGTTTATCTTATATTTAGTTGAAGTTGTTATATTAATGAATTGACAACGTGCCCTAGTGGAGAGAACACATGTTAAAGATACTCTGCATACACAAGGGCGAATTTTGCATTTTCTTTCATTATTGGTTTGTCATGCATCAATGAGTATTTCAAATATTATTTAATGAATTTGTGTTATTAATAGCTTAAGCGCATGTCTCATAGGTATATATTTTGAATTGTAACCCCAAGGGCCTGAGTTTAAGCCTTGGCAGCCATCAACCATTATTTTTATCACTTGTTTCTTTTATTTTTTTCTATTTATTTTTCTTACTATTTTCTTTTTTAGTTATAGTTTAACCTATTTTATTTTCTCCCTTAGTTTTATTTTATTAACTTAAATATTAAAACACTATAAAAAATTTATTTATTTATTCAAAGCTTTGGTTTTATTTTTATATTTTGTTTAAACATATTAATTATTAAAACAAGCAAAATTAGTTTTTTTTGTTTCAATTATTTAAATATTTTTCTTAAATGACTCTCTCATAAATACCATAATACTTTAATATATTTTCTTGTTTGTGATTTTTATACCAAGATTAAGTGATGTTAATACCATGCATATAATTAATTCAAATGACTTCTTGCATTATTTTTATAATTCTCATTAGGGTTTTGATTCTTACCATATATTTGAGATCTTGATTGATGTTTTGATTATGTGAAACCCTAATTCATGATGCTTTCATATTTATTTGTTTTTATATTAATTTAAATGTTCATATAATGATGGTTGATGTTTATACTTTATATTGTGTAATACTTGTGTCAAATTCAAGAAAAGGGATAATATTGTTGGCTTTATAAGCCATGTGCATATGCATTGTCTTAGGTTTACTTTTATGTGGTTATCATTGTGTGTTATCCTTATAATTGTTGGTGTTTACCCTTTTGTACTTAAACCCTAATCCATTTTTGAACTTTCACCACTTTCATATAAAAACCTTGACTTTGTGTCATTGTATTTTTAAAACTTTCTTTCTTTAATAAATGCTTCAATAAACTTAAGCATATCAAAACAAACTTCAAAAGACTAAAAGTGATTCAACCTCACTCAATTATTTTTTCCATTTGGCTTTTTAATTTAAACATTTTCTCAAAGAGATTAGATATAAATTCTCTTTATAGTTGTGAAATGATTCTCCTATCCCTATAGTAATTGTTGAAGTAAATGTTGATTCTTTCCACATGAAGATGTTAATTGGAAACTTGTTGATCTTTATATCCACATTAGTAACCTTTCCTTTATGATGATGCAATATCCATATTCACATACTTGTGGTGGTATTAGTTGAGCTTTCTCCGTAAAAGATGATGAAATATCTTTTTTCTCCTAAAATCAACTACAACAAACCCTTTTGTTATTTTTACCATAAACTACGAGGTTTTGATTATTAATTGGTACGTAGGTATAATACTATGCATTTCCAAACAAAAATATAATAAAAATATTTCTTTTCCCATCTCCACACTCATTTAGCAAACAAACAATTTTAAACCAAAAACTGGATTTTATAAGTGGTTCCTATAGAGTACTATAGATACATAGGGTATTAATACCTTTCCTTTGTATAACTAACCCTCGTACATTGGATCTCTTCCTTATGCTTTGATTTTAGTCTTTACTTATTGTATTGCATGTTAAACAATAGGGTTTCAATATTTTCTCTTTTCCTTGGAAATAATAAATTTCGATGTTGACTTCTTAAGTCCTAGTGAGTCAAGTTTCTCAATAGCTTGGTCTCCTCGATTTTTCTCCGCGATAGAAATGGCGACTTCACTGAGGTCATGTATCCTCAAAAGGGTTAAACCTAGCTTCATTTATTTGTTTTATATTATTATTGTTTGTTTGTTATATATGATGTTTTGTGGTTCTTTGGGGGGTGATTAATGATTATTGCAAAGACAACTCCTACACCCGGACTAAGTAACACTTAAAAAATTAGGATGGTGGTATAATCTAAAGTTACATGACTAGAGTAATCCTGACATAAGTAGCATATCATAACCCCACTCAGTGGAGGCCTCTTTGGGGGTGATAATGCTAAACAAGCCAGTTATTAAAGCATTATTACTTTCAACCTGAGTGTAAGACCAAGATTTGGATCTATGTTCAATATCTGAATTTTGATGATAGCAAGCATATATTTTATGAAGAATAAATTTAGTTTTAATGGTTTCTTTGAGTGTGTAGATACATTGTTATAATTATGGATAGTCTTAATCAAGATATCATCATAATTACTTTATCACTAAGAAGAAGAACCATTGTGTTTTGTTTCTAATGTAACATCAGTAGTTCTATGGAATTCTGAATGTTCGACAAGAAAAGAATCTCCCTGAGTTTCCAAGAAGAAAGAATTTCTGATAAGTTGTTGCTTCAAGATCAGAAATCAAGAGGAGACAAGAAACAAGCTTCCAAAGCAGAAGATAAAAATTCAAGACTAGTTCATTAGAAGAGCTCTTGCT